AGTCCAAGTAAACATGGAAAGGTTGTGACCTATGGAGCCTGTAGGCCAAGGCTATGTGTCATTCATTGTCTGCCAGCCTCATTCATTATAGGTACAATTTATGTATTAATATATGTGTATATTTTCTGATTTTTACTCTTTCCATCGAGGGAGTAAAATTTTCAGGTTAAAAGAAACATAGAAATACCCAATTAATTTTTTGTTGTTGTTCTTGTTAGTTTTAAATGTAAAATTTCTCCCTCAAGGAATATGCCTACAGTCCAGATTCAGCCAGACCGACAGACTGTTAACCAGGGAAGTGAGGCTGAGCTTACATGCATTGTAACTGGAAGTCCACCACCTGATATTAAGTGGTCAAAGGTAATTATTATCATTACTGTTATCATAACTATTATTCTTTTCCTAATTGTGTTATCATCATATTATTGTTCTTGTTAGTAATGATATAAGGAATGTTAGTGATATTTATCTGTATTATCATTAATGTTAAAGCTATCACTATTTTTTATTTACTTTAGATTTTGCTGTAGTCACATCTGTGTATGAATTTTCCTCTTGTTATTTATAAATAACTTTTCCTTAGAAGAAAAAAAACTCATTGTAGATAGACCTACACAAAGACAAAGAATGTTGAAGGATTAAGGAACAGCAGTGATAAGTTAGTTTACTTAACCCTACAGGTGAATGACGAGTTTGGCGTAGGTGTGCGTGTTGAAGGGAACGTGCTGAGGATCATAAGTGCAGTTGTAAGTGACCGGGGAATGTACGTGTGCACAGCAGAGAATGCTGGAGGAACAGCACAAGCAGCAGCCATTGTGGAAGTAGAACGTAAGATTTTTTTTTAACCTTAAGAGTCAGTGAGATAGTTAATCAGAAGAGAAAGGAGAGTCCCTTTTTTTGTTTTATTATTTATTGTTTCATATATTTGACTGTCTAGTTTAACCAGGAGTCCTCTAATCTATTAAAGTAAAACTTCTTCCCCTCACATGCCTGTTATTTTCTTCTGTTAGGACGTGAACCTCCAACTGTTCAGATTTACCCACAAGTCAAGCAGACCATTGTGGCAGGAGCAAGTGCCCTCTTCCAGTGCCACCTGACTGGAGGCATCCCAACCCCCACAGTGCGCTGGGCTCGAACAGATGGTCGACCGCTGTCACTGAACACGGAAACTCTCAATGGTGGTGTCTTAAGGTAGGGCTATTTTTTTTGGTGTGTGGGATTCTTTTAGGAGGTAGGGGGGACATAGTGTATCATAAAAGAGTAAATGCTAGGGAAAATTATTTGTGATAATCTGAAAAACTTTTGGATAGAGCATATATCCTTTAGTCTCATGCAAATTCTGCACAAAAAAAAATGTTAGGAATGCATATGTAGTTTCAAATAACATTATTTTTATTAAATAAATTGTAAATAGTCCTTCTGGCTATTTACCATGGTCTGCAAAATTCACAGAAGTTGATTATTTGTTCATTAATTCATTATCCCCCCCCCCCTCCCAGATTCAACCAAGTCCAAGGTGATGAAGAAGGTTCCTACACATGTACAGCTGAGAATGATGCAGGAAGGGTGACAGCTGTAGCTATGCTGGAGATCCAGTCCTTGCCTGTGATCAGTATCAGACCTGGACCATCTCCATACACGTTGCAAGTTGGTCAGAGGATGCGTCTGGAGTGCTCTGCCCGAGGAGATCCATCGCCTTCTGTAACTTGGCAAAAGCTGGAGGTCAACTTCCCAACCACTGTGTGAGTGGATTCCCATGAATTTTTCATTGAGTGAAGCATCTATGATGTGCTATGCTGTAAACAATATTTTTTAGTGGTTTTCTGTTCTTAGGGATTAAGCCTGGAAAAAAAATTCATATATGTAGTCAGAAGTCAAAATTATAGTATTTTTTCCCTTAGATCCAGCCAGTCGACAGCTCCAAATGTTGCCGTTTATGAAGTACCATCTGCATCAAAGTCTGATTCCGGCACCTATCAGTGCTCTGCTACCAATGCTGCAGGTGAGAATGACAGTAGACCTTTAAGATAAAAAAAATAACCTGGTATAAGCTACCCCCAAAGAAGAAGCTTGCGTGTGTATATATATGATTTTTGTAACAATTCAATAAGTACCCCATATAATTGTATAGAATAAATATATCTGACTGATAGATATATCTAATGAATGTGATGTCTATAGCAATAATTTTTTCCATTCTTTTTCCTACTAAAGGTGTAAGTGAGGAGAGGATCCAGATCGTTGTTGAGGATGTGCTGCCAGGATTCAAGCCTGTTGTTGATACCACAATCCCAGATGCACCTGAAGCTGCTACCATCTTTGTACCTATTGGAGGAAACTATGAGTTCTCATGCAGAGAACAAGGTAGGTTCTAAGCAGTTGTATGTTTCTTGTTCTATCTCTCTCTCTCTCTCTCTCTCTCTCTCTCTCTCTCTCTCTCTCTCTCTCTCTCTCTCTCTCTCTCTCTCTCTCTTCTGTCTGTCTGTCTTTTCTCTCTCTTTTTCTCTCTCTTTTTCTCTCTCTCTCTTTCTCTCTCTCTTTCTCTCTCTCTCTCTCTCTCTCTCTCTCTCTCTCTCTCTCTCTCTCTCTCTCTCTCTCTCTCTCTCTCTCTCTCTCTCTCTCTCTCTCTTTCTTTGTTACTCTTTTTCCCTTAAATGTTATTTTTTTTTATTTCCTTCATAGAGTAGAAGCAGACAAATGTTTTTTCATGTTTATGAAATATACAAATGTATATGTCTTCAGCATATTTTATTTTTTAAAGGTTCTTATTATTATATATTTAAATATGTATTTGTTGTATATACAGCATAGATAGACAGACAATTATCTACCTAGGTTCAAGGTTTTTATTTATTTATTTATTTATTTTTTTTAATTCATTTATTTACTTCTTTTTTTTTTATTTAGGACCAGATGCCTCTTCCATCATATATGACTTCAGACGCAGTGATAACAGGCCCTTACCGCGGGGCTACCGTATTGAGAATGGCGTTCTTTATCTCACAAGCGTTGACCAGGCAGCCTCAGGAGAGTATGCTTGTGTAGGGTCCGACCGCATATCAGGAAGGATTCTCTTCACCATCTATGCCACCTTTGAGGTTATTGGTAAGTGGGCTCAGCATTACATTTTGACTTTACTTTGACCTAATTCTGGAATGTTTGCAACCTCTGCAAAAGAATAAAAAAAGGGTAAAAAGTTTAAGGCAAATTAAAGAACAATTTAAAGTCATATGTTACACCCCAGATTCACATATCAGGGAGCCATTTTAGCCATCAATTGATAAACCACATGATGCTTCTTCCTTGTGCTGCTCTGTATAGGAGACCCATGTGGTCCTCAAGGTACACCTGTGATCCTTTTCTATACTGATGAAATGTTATTTGCTTATATACATTTCCTCATTGTATTTATAGAAACTGAATGTCGTGATTCATAAAAGAAATGGGCATACATGTATTTTTACATTGTATTACATTTATTGCTATTAGATTAATAAACTTCCAAGCTCATTTGGCATTAGAATGTGAAATTTCACTGTAAAATCATTTGATCATTTGATGTAAGTGTTAATGCTTTGTATCATTTTGTAATTTCCTCTGGATGATCCTATAGCTCAAGGTTGGTGATGATATTTTGTTTCCTGTCTTTCTTGATTATGTAATTCTCTTTTTGTAGAGTAACAATATGTAGAAAAAGAAGATTTACTTTGTAATATTAAGCTAATTCTAATTATTAATTGATGGTAAATGCTATGATTCTAAAATAGTGGGGTTGTATATTATTTGTGGTTTAGTATCCCTTTCTGAACTTAGAAAAAAAAAGAAAAGAAAGAAAAAAGAAATGACCGAAGACACTATCTCCATAGCATCAAAAGGAATGGCTCAAAATTCTCATTCATTCTCCATCTTCTTTCCAGCCCCTCCACGCATCACGTTAGACCCTGCACGGCAGATTGTGCGTCCCGGAGATCTTGTGCGCATCCGCTGTACTGCTACTGGCCCACAGCCCATCACCATCAACTGGTCTAAGGAAGGCGGGTACATGCCACGCACTGTCATTATGAATGGAGGAGAGATGATGGTAAGCAGAGATCTTGGCTTTTTAACTCTTCTTCCTCTTTAAAAACACAGATTAAAGCGATATTATTAATGTTCACTCTTTTCTTCTTTCTTCACAATTAACGCTAATCTTTTTGTTATCAAGTTATACCTTTCTTTAAAGTTCATATTAGAGCAAGGTTTAAACTTTTGGTTTTATAATAGTCAATAGGTGATGAAGGAACCTGGTAGAAGTTGTCATTGGTAATTTTTTGTTTGTCTAGCTTTATTATGAATATTATTAATAAAGAGAATTATTAATGTGCTTCTACCAATAGTTCCGTGGCATTGAGACTTCTGATGCAGGGAGGTACATCTGTCAAGCTGTAAACAATGCTGGAACTGCACGTGCTGTCGCAGAAGTTGTTGTTAATGGTAAGTATGCTGTATTTAGCATAAATTAATTTTTTTGCTGACTAATTCTTACTGTGATTGCCTGGATTGACTCCAGTTGTTTATTATTTATAATGCAACATATTTTTAAAGAAAGAGCTGATGTTTGTGCTGTTTAATGTTAGCATTATATCAATAATGTCTGTATTCAGTACTAATATTAGTTTAAATTCTATAACAAGTATATTTTGCCAACACTTTAGGTTTTTAGATGTGTTAAAGCAGATATACATATATATGTGTATATATATATATATATATATATATATATATATATATATATATATATATATATATGTATATATATATATATATGTATATATATATATATAATATATATATGTATAAACATATATACACATTATATGATATATGCATGTTATATGTGTATTTATATATATATATATATATATATATATATATATATATATATATATATATATATATATATAGTGTGTGTATATGTGATATTTTAACATTCAAGATCTATTTCTACTTGCTTGAACTTTTGTTAGAATCTCAAATAGTTATGAATATATTTAAGTTTTCAATTGTATGTTTTAGATTTAGATTCCATGCTGTGTATCATATCATTTTCTTTCATGCTACCTAAAGGAACTCTTCCTCTTGTTGGAGAAGAAGATCTTGAGGAACTTTTATTAGCTACAGGTTCAACTTATGATTATTTCTGCATGAAAATGTGTTGCTTTGCATGTAGATACCCAAAATCTCTCCTCTTTTACGATTGTGTAATATTTTTGTATTCTTGCTCTGCTTCTGATTTTCTCCCTGTGTGACTTCCTCCCTGCACTGCTGTGATGGGAGCAGTCATTGTTGTGTAAAAAGAGTATCATGTCCTTTTTACTCCTAGAATTTAAGATGCAAATTATTTGGTAATTTATCATCACACCAGCTGTCAAAGCAGAAGATACCCTGCCAGAAAAAACACCAAAGCAAGATGCTGAGAAAAAGCCAGGAATCATTGACACTTTAGGAATTGGAGTTACCGAGGATGTGTTTTTTGACCAATTTGAGGACGATGAAGAAGATTACTTTGATTCCTCCTCTACCCCCGAAGAGGGCTATTATTTGAAAGTAGGTGGCGAGGAAGTGTGCGAATTCATGTGTCGAGATGAGACAATGTGCGTTCTCTCAAGTCAGTTATGCGATGGTAAACGCAACTGCCCTGATGGATCAGACGAAGAAGAGTGCTTAAAAGACACCCTGATCAAAAGTTAGTAGTGCATATATTTTTAATCATATGTAATACCCTGAGCAGGTTTGCATTTGGTTGTGTGGGGGCTGTGCGTCATTATCTTTCATGTGGTTTGCAGTAGCTAGGTCTGTGGGTTTTTCACTCTCTCTCTCTCTCTCTCTCTCTCTCTCTCTCTCTCTTTTTTTTTTTTTTTTTTTTTTGCTCATTCCTTATTTATCATCAATTGTCCAATTATTGTACATGAGTTTACTTTCTCACATTCATAAGATATGTTATGGAGATCTAGTTAACCCATTCCCACCGGGCATGCCATGTCATGGCCACTGTGAGATTACTTGTTAGATTGTTTTCACACATAGATGGCTACACTTGTACTAAATCACCAATGAGCCAGTTACGAATACCGCCTGTCTCGCCTGTTCACCCTTTTCTTTGATTTACGAAATATTTTACCTTATCTTATTTTGCTGTTACTAATGTTAAAAGATATTATAAAAATTATAATGTTTATAATAAAAATAACACCACCGATATTCATGGCACTAGTGAAAAATACGTTTTTCCCGCCATTTCAAAGCAGGCGCTAACAGAGCCATCTATGGGCAGACATTTAACAAAATAATATAGAAAATAGGCATAGCTTTTTCCCCATTTTTTGTTCATTTTCCCCAGCGGCAATGGGTTAATGTTTAAAATTCTTGAAGAGGAACTTAAAATTTTAGAAGTGGAAGGTAGGACCAATTCATCATGGGATGTAGTTATATTAGATCATTAAAAATCATAGTCATGTTTAAATTGTTTAACAGTGATTTACAACAGGGAAATATATGTACTTATTTGTACAAAAGGCCAATAAATGATTCTGAATATTCTTTGATTCAACTATGATTTTATGAATTGAGAGTTCTGTAGCTTTTTTATTTATATATTTTTTTTTTTTGTAATAATAGTTTCATATTAGACCGTGAACTTTGGGATTGTTAAGTTATGATTAAGGAAATGTCTAAACTCCTGGAATGTTATTTGATTCAGAAATACAGTAATTTTATAACTTGAGGAATGTGTCAGATTTTTTTTAGGAAATAGCACATCAAATCATGAATGACTGTGTGATTATTGATGTTAAGAATTTCCATTATCTTGGTATTCTATTTTGTTCATAAAACTGAGCATAATGAATATTGGTTACTTATGTACTAGTTGGTAATTATTGTGTTTATGTCCATTTAATGTTTTTGCATGTTAACAAAGTTTCCCTGTAGTTTGCTCATTAGTATTGTCTTGTAGTCAAAAGAACGCTTTCCTGTATTTGTAATGCATTATGCATATGACATATACATATACTACCTACAATGACTAATGCATGATCATATATATCCCTCCAGTAGTTAACATTTAACAACTACCAAAATAAGTTGAGAAACATTTATGCTGGTCCTCCATTTGCAAATTAGCTTGACTATTGACTGGCGACTTAAAAGATCACTATCCAGAAGAGAAACTCGGTATTATTAGAATGCTCATACAAAGTTGTAATGATAAATTCAAAAATTTTATTCAATGCTTTGAAGGACCACAGCAAATCAGCTTGTGGGGGCCTTTTCGGTTGTTGCCTGCCTGGCTCAGGTTGCCATTGTAAACTCTTTTTTTCATCTAATGTATGCTATATTTCATTTATATATCCAAAATTCAAAACCACTAGTGATGCACTCTACAAATTATAATTCACTTTAGTTTCATATTTGAGAACATGTTAGATCTATATAAAAAGAGTTATTATAATGTTAGCTTTTGCTAATATTCATTATTACAGTAGTAGCAATATCAGTATATTGATATTAGGATATTGATGATAAAGATTTCCAAGAGAAAAAGAAAAAGAAGGAAAAAAGCAGTATGCACATAATAGTTACCGATAACAAATGGAGGACCAGTTGTACATGATGATACACCCACTACCATTCTTTTACACAGAGATGTTTTTTTTTTCAAATAACACTTTTGTGATAGCTTGTGAGGACTCTCCATGTGGCAACAAGCTCTGCCTTGCAAAACACCAGATATGTGATGGTATACCAGACTGTTATGATGCTGGAGATGAGAAGGGTTGTATTGGTAAGTATGTTCAACAGAAGTCACATACATTTCATAAACATTTGAAGTCAATTATACTTTTACTTAGCACAGGCCTAGAAAAATAGATGGTAGTGTGTATGTATAATGTATGTAGTTCTATCAATTACTATATAGAGTGAAATCAACACCTGTATTATACTTTCTTTACATATTTCCTTCTACTATCCAATTTCTTATCCTCGCTTATTAACATTTGTCTCTTTATCTATATTTATCCTTCTTTCATATCTGTTTCAGTCATCTTTTCATGTTATTAATTTCTTTGTAATGCAAAGAAAAAAAAATGTTGCATGTGCTTTTTTTATATCTTTTAATATATACCTTTTTTGAATAAATGCATGCTCTTTTTTTTCTTTTTCTTTTTTCTTTTGTTTTTATTTCTTTCCTTATTAAGACCCCGTTACCTTTTTCCACACCCAATCCTGCAGATGACATTTTCGACCTGACCAAATGCTCAGATTTCTTCAAATGTGGTGATGGAAAATGTTACCCATTCTACCTCAACTGTGATGGCGAGTGTGACTGTAGTGACTGTAAGGATGAAAAGATTTGCCTCCGAACCAGAAGGCATATCAGACATGGTAATGAATTTCTTGACCAGCAGTGTTGTTATTTGCAGTGTGGGTCAGGGCAGCATTTAATGTTTTGGTGACTTCCATGATGTGAAAAGGAAGTCTCTTTCTAAAAGGATATATTATGTGTCTTTTGCAAGTGTTACCTATATTTGTGTTACATTTGTATTGTACAAATGTTATCTCATTCCTAATGAATGTGTTTTATATGTACTGCATGTGGGAGATCAATATACATTTTTTTTTTTCTTGTGAATACAGTAGGCATACTTTTTCTTTTTATACATGAGCTACATAATTAATTCTCCTGTGTGTATTGATTTGTATCTGTTTGTACCAAGTATTATATAAATCTGTATGTTGTGTATTAGTAATGCCATGTCTTATTGTACAAGTTATTTCATCCATTTATTTTGTAATTTTGTGAAAATGTAATGAAAAGATGTGTCACATAAGGTTACAAGATGTTGTAGAGTCTCTCTCTCTTCAATGAGATATGTAACTGTTTCTTAGATATGTTTATGTGTACCTTCAGACTACAGTATATGTTTGATTTGTTGCATTTTGTTGTGTGTTCATTATTACTGTCTGCAAGTAGTTGGGATATAGAATATAATGATTTTAGTGATTATGTTTGGATAAACAGTTATGCAATATTCATTTTCCAGTGTATTGTGAGGATTGGCAAATTATGAATTACATTAAGGTTTTCTTACGTGTATAATTTTGTTTAAGATTCAAATGTCAAAATTAAGAAGATACTCTTTATCTGTCTTGCTTTTCTGCAAACTATGGAGAAACAGGTATTTTCTATTTTCTATTTTTCTTCTAAAGGTACTCTCTACCTTGAGGAAAAAAATTAACTCTCACTTTGAATTTTACAGAGGAACCACTCTTAACAGCAATCCAGCAAGATATTGTGCGATTTGTTGGACAAACGGCTGAACTTCGATGTGAGGCTTCAGGAATCGACCCCAATGCAGTCTCTTGGTCTAGGCTTAGAGGCAGCCTTCCTTCAAGCGCTGTCATTCGTGGCAATCTTTTGAGGTGAGGTATCATAACTTTAATATCTTTTAAATAATTTTTTTTTTCTTTTTTTCTTTTTTTTACATATTCTGTAATTTGTTTGTTATAGCAAGGTACAGAAAGTATATACATATATACATATTTACATCCATACAGACACACCACCATACACACACACACACACCCATACACACACACACACCCATACACACACACACCCATACACACACACACCCATACACACACACACCCATACACACACACACCCATACACACACACACACATATATGAATGTATGTACATATATATATATATATACATATACATACACATACACATACACATACACATACACATACACATACACATGCACACACATACACATGCACATACATACACATATGTATACATATACACATACATACATACGTACATACATATATACATATATACATATATACATACATACATATAGATAGATATGGATATATTCCCAAATATAGATAGTTAAATAGATTAATAGATATTTATACACATATATATTACATCAGCATATTTGTGGGTTGAAACATTATATTCAATATTTTTTTTCATTTTTTTTTCAACAGACTGGCTTCCTTGAGGCCCGAAGACAGCGGTCAGTATCAGTGTGAAGCAAGAGGTCCAACAGGATTCCTGTCCTCTGTCATCACCTTGAATGTACTGAGTGAGTGATCAATTACAAAGTACTTAATATGCATGAAAACAGGACTTTTAGTTTTATAAGTGCACTTAACGACTAGTTAAGGAGAATTCTTTGTGGTTGTAGGGATTGTTACAGATACGTCGAAGTGGCATTATTCACAACAAATACATTGTCACTTAACAGAGAATTAGCCATCAAGTAGATGAATATCTAAAACTGGAGGTTATACCACACTGATAATTGTTTATTGTTCATGTTGTCTGAAAGAAAAACTGTAATGTCTAAAATTTTTGTTGTTATTAAACTGTGAAGATAGTGCAGTAAACAGTTGAAAAAGCTTTTGATAGCAAGTGGTTGAGTTTTTGTATTGTTGTTCAATTGTTCTTATAATGTAGAAATGAAAATCTGTAATGGTATTACAATTGTCAGATTTTGTCAAATGAATGGCAACATTTCTGACTTTGAAGCTTGTCTTGAACTTTAATTTATATTGAGAGTTTGTGTATATGAAGAGTGCTTATTTTGCAATATATTATCATCAAATTTGATTCTCCTTGATAGTTATGTTTCAAAGATAGTATCAAAATTTATAAAATCTTTTAAAGCTTAATGTGTGAATCTGTCTTCATCGCTTAATCTGCTAACTGCATGATGTGTCTAAGAATATTTATGTAAAATGCATGCACCAGTTACTAACATACTCCTCTCACTGCTGTGCTTCTTGTTTTGTTACCTTAATAAAATGTTGTTATTCTCTATACTATCTTCTTTTACCTATGCATTTATTCTTTCAGCTCTTTTGAGTATGTTATTTTAGTTATGTAGAAATTGTTGTAAATTTTTTCATAATGCAACAGGCTTTACGAGGTACTTCAGTATGCGGAGTCAATGTCATTCTTTTTAATCAGATGATGTATAGCAGCTTTAGAGCTATTATTATGCTTTGTTATTATAAATCTTTTGAATTATGTGTTACTTTATCACAATGTTGTTATCAGAGCCATTCTATTATTATTGTTATTATTAATTGCTAATACTATGAACTTTATTTTCATATATATAATTATAGAGTGTTCTGTGCAGGTAGATACTAAGTTTTGCATATTTATTATTAAATAAATATCAGACAGAAATTAGTTAGAATTTTGACTTAGATTGCAAAGCTGCATGATTATTTATTTATTTATTATTATTATTTTTATTTTTATTTTATTTTTTTTTTTTTTTATAAAAATGTTTCCTCATTAAACTTTTTATCCTGAATCATGTGTCTTTTAATTTTCACTTTTTACTTTATTTCCTTAGCAGCTGATTATTCAGCTGATATTATTCTATATGACTAACCATATCATGCCAAGCTTTTTTTCCTTTTAATGAAGTGGGATGAAGCAGACTTAATTCTTACTTTTTCTCTTTTTTGCATATTGCTGTAATGATAAAAGTTTTTTTCTTTTTCAAATGTATATTAATTGTGCTAACTTTTTTTGTTGCATGCTCTCAAGCTTGGAATGGTTCAGCAGGTTTTCTTCTGAAGCAGACTAATGAGACTAACTTATCTGCAAGTGTATATAATGCTGATGGAACAATGTGTGGTGAAGAGTGCGCTTACACTCTCGCAGATGATTCAAAAGTCAAATCAAACTTAGAAATGAATATTAGCAAAAAGGTTCATGGTATAGAATATTCATCAAAGGGACTAGATTGTTTAATATTAGGATCATTATCAAATCAAGTTAAATGCATCACTAGATCTAAGCCTGAGGAAGAGCAGGCAATTTTAAATACTCAGGAAGAAATTCCTAACTTACAAGGGATGCTCCAGACCAGCCATTCTTCAGTTGGAACATGGCTTGCAGTTGTTGATCTAAGAAACTGTAGTCACTCACCAGATTTGTGTTTCATCCTTATGCCCAGCAACCATCAGAATTTAGAAAGGGGTGACCACTTTCCACCTACTTGTTTTTTCATCACTGCGTTGTTAGAGTCCTGTGATTTATTAAGATCATATTCTAACAGTTGTGCAAGTATCAGTTACTTCTTTAAAATAACCACTGCTTTGGGAGATATAGTAGATGTAAACATTAACTCTGACTT